TCTCTCATAACGGCGCCAACACAGTCTCTCTGCCGCCGCTCTCCATTTATTTGAGTGAACCACTTCGTTACTTCTCTTTTGAAAGTACTCAAGTTGAGTGACATTTAACGAACAATATATTCCAAAGTAATAATTGTAAAGTGCAGGAATTTCAAAAGAAAATATTTTTTTTTTTATATTTTAGGAACTTATACGTTAGATTCTTGTTTGAAAGAAAAGTTTTTAAATTGCTAATTGCTGTTTTAGCATTAACATATAATATAATTTCTAAAGTTAGGCAAATGCATTTATTCGATAGGAATTTCAAAGTTTTTAAATTGAAGTAAAAAAATTATTCCACATCTCAAATAACTTTTAATATGTTCTTTTTTTGCAACTGAAATAGCCAATAGTGGTTAACATTCGGATGGACAGGGTTCGAGTAGTGGTCTCGTCAACATCGGAAGAGCCTCTTCATCTAATTTGCGCTGTATTCTTAAATATTTTTCAATAATGAAAATGCAGAAGTTTTAAGTCTTTTCCGAACCGCTGGTGGATTCTTATCATAATAATTTTACTTTCTCGTAAGAAACGAACTCACAGCTTATAAATTCGAATTTAAAGAAAACCTTCATTTTGTTGTCGAAAATTAAGTTGTCATGTTCTGGAAATTGATACCACATAAAAATGTGTCGACTGACCGCGTAAAAAATTAAGTGCAATTACACTTTTATAAAACTAGGCACGATGTATAAGAGACATAAAAAATTTCTAATGTTTCTCTGAGACATAATACCACTACAGATTATTCCATAATGCCTCCAGAAGCTCTGATGAGGGTGATAAAGCAATGATGTATCCACCGTGGAAGACCAAATTAGCTAAATGCATGTCTTATAAGCACTTAAAGACCTTCTCGGCACTAGCCACCGTTGACATAATTAACCTTTTCAACTCATCTTCTTATGCCTATGTATCTCCCTATGTTCCGAATATATCAAAACAGATTATTTTTTTAATTAAGCCAGCAAACCTTGGTTAATCACCTTTACCTGTATCTTAAATCAAGTTTGACGAGCTGCAACAACAACCAAAAGACATTTACATATATCTCATACATCATGGATCTTAGTTGTAATGGATACCTGCGGTGTACGTAGCAAATATAGAAGCTCCAGCTTTAACACTTCTTAGGCTACTCCCGTGTGCACCTTACTTTTTTATCCAACCCGTAATTTCAGCCTGTAGTTTCAGCCAATGTCGTGCATGTTAAATTGAAAATAAAGTAATATTGACATCTAAAGAAAATTAAGATGAACGTACTCACATATTGCGGATTGTATTCCTCTAGATTTTGGTAAATTTAATTATATTTATTTTTATTATATCCTAATATAACACCGTTAAATTATTCACTTTTCCTTTTCTCTATACCTTCTTTATTTTGTACTAAATATATTCCATATACTTAGAACACTGAATTCCGTTTCTTTTTCCACGTAAAGTATATTTTTCCTTTTCTATTTTAATACACTAACACTGGCTTAATTAAGACTATTATTAAATTTATATTTATATATATATATTTTTTTTTTTTAGTAAATTATTGAAAACTAATTTTTAATTTTTTTTTCGATGTCACTTACTTCTGATCTTTTTTTTTCTAATAAAAAAGTAACGGTACGAATATAAAAAAAAAACAAAAAAAACAGAAATATTGCTGCTGTTCCCGATAATGTGATAAATATAATATGGTATCATAAATACTCGGAATCGATGTTTATAGAAAAATTATAGGAACTCCATATGTCTGTATATGGAGTGCAAACTAAACTAAACTAAAATTGAAATTTTTTGAAGAAAGCGCTTTTATTAATCAATTATGTATTCGCCATCATGTTCGGCAATCAACTCCCAACGTTCAACCAATTTACGGATGCCAAATTTTTAATTTTTTTTCCATTCAAATTGTTCTGCAGCGATCGAAACAAATGATAATCAGAAGGTGCAATGTCGGGTGAATATGGGGGATGCGGCATGATTTCCCAATTCATCTCCTTCAGTTTGGCCAGGGTCGGTTTTGCAACATGTGGCCTGGCGTTGTCATGATGGAAAAGAACTCCTTTGCGATTGGCCAAAATCGGACGTTTTTCATCAATTGCTTTCTTCAATTCGACCAATTGCTGACAATACTTGTTGGCAGTGATCGTTTCTCCAGCTGGCAAGAGCTCAAAATAGATCACGCCTCGGATATCCCACCAAATGCACAGCAGTACCTTCATCGGATGCAATCCACCTTTCGACATCGGTTCCGCCCCTTCGTGTGCCTGTTTCCATGTTCTTTTGCGTTGAACATTGTTGTACAGGATCCATTTTTCATCACCAGTCACGAGCCGATCCAAAAAAGGTTCGTTTTTGATCCGTCGAAGCAAAGAAATTGCTGTTGACATACGGTCCACTTTGTTTTTTTCACTCAACTGATGTGGCACCCATGTATCGAGCTTCAAAGTGTACCCAACCTTTTTTAAACGACGAAACGCAGTTGATTTGTTGACGTTCAATTCACTGGCAACCTCTTCCGTCGAAATACGTGAGTTATTCGCAACTAAAGTCCTTAGAACATCGTCATCAAGCTCAGAAGGCCGTCCACTGCGAGGTTGATCTTCGAGGTTAAAATCTCCAGAACGAAATTTCGCGAACCATTTCTTTACTGTGCGGAGTGCTGGAGCACGGTCCAAATAAACTTCGCGAATATCTTTAGTTGCAGCGCCTACTGTTTTTCCTTTGCGGAATTCGTATAACATAATATGACGCATATGATCTTTTTCGTTGTCCATCTTCCATGTGTCTTTTCACTAAGCAACTCAAATCAAAATGAAGTTATCTTATGCTTGATTTACAGTTCGGACTGTCACCTTTCCAACGATATATAATATATATATATTTCTTTCACGAACGCCACTCTCAAACGATTCGAACGGCATCCACCGGAATCGGACACGAACTTATACACTCATCCAATACATTTAGGATATCCTCCTTTGTAAATTGATTATCTTTGAATGCCAGGATTCGGTTGAAGTCTGCGATTTTCAATGGCAATGACGTATTCCTTTGGTGCTGATAAGAGAACGCTTCAATAATATATATTTACAAGACTTTCCGTCTTAAAGGCTCCATGAGCTAGAGTGAAGCTGGTTTACAGTAAAATCGTAGGCGCATGTACATACTTTATTAATCATATTGCACCGACAACACTTCGGACGGTAGAAGTTATAGCTGCTATTTCGGAAACCACAACGTTTCCTCATCAGACTTCTTTTTCCCAACACCTTAAGCAGAATTTTTTCACATGTTTCCAAAAGTATATATTCTGAGACGTTCAATAAAACAAAAACCTAAAAACAATTCTACAGAATAATGACCAGAAAAAGCATTTTCCTATTTGTTTTGTACCTCATGTCAGGCGCCAGAGCAAAAAAAAAACTGAAAATTATTTTTACAGAAGTCTTATTTATAGTTTTTTAGTCTACTTTAATCCACTTTGTGGACGTAGTAATAGTAGGTCTTAGATAATGGAGTTCCAGCGTAATTTTTTACCACTTTTTCGCAGCAATGTCAAAGATGGTCACGCAAAGAGAAAATTCGTTCATTAGGCAAAAGGCAGGCAGATGCAAATGAGAATAATGTTTATGATCCGGATACGGTAAAAGTCAATAGTTTCGATAAAAAAGCTGGGTATACAAAAAAGCTCAATATATGGATGCCACATGAGTTAACGAGAGAACCCCTCATGGATCGATATTCCATCTGCTAATCGATGCTGAATCATAACAAAATCTGGTGACTGGTGATGACAAGTGGATCACTTACAGCAACGTCAAACGAAAATGGTTGTGTTCGAAGGGCAATGAATCGGCACAAAGGGTCTCTGAGCCATGATTGACGGCTTGGAAGATTATGGTGTGTGTTTGGTGGAAAGGAATCAGCCACTACGGGCAAACCCTTAATTCCATTTTGGCCAAACCCTTAATTCGGCCAACGTCTGATGGCATAGATCGAAAGTGATACCTCAAAAGCTCTGAGTGTTTGGATGGGAGGTTCTTATGCGTCCACTAAAAGAAGTAAAGAATTAACCTCAAGAGAAGACTTTGAAAATTAAATGTCCAAACTGTTTTCCATTAATAAGAGAGGTATAAAGAAATTCTAATCATGATAGAGAAAGTCTTTAATTTAATGCAAAAATAATCGATTACGAGACCCAATTTTTTAGCGATTTTCTTTTTTAATTAATTAGTCTTTTATATTCGCCTAAGCAATTTTCGGTAATTATCAACTTATGTTGGTGAGTCATTCCTTGAATTCACATTAGAAAAATTTGAAATGGGTGCGTACCTAATGATTTATGTATGAAAACAAATATATGTATGCATACGTATTAATATGCAACAACTCTTACTGTGACATCAAATGCCCAATAGCAACACTAAAATGCACCGCTACCCGTTTGACAAATTTGCAATGCAACCAAAATAACGTTTTTGAATAAACATGTACACACATACATTACAAACAAACGGGTATGTCCTCGCTTGTATGGCCACCCGTCGTTTGTCATTGCTCCACAAGTGCGCTCCACCATTCCACTTTAATTAAAAAGGGGCACAAACTGGTATCCGCCTATTTTTTGTACGACTAGTGCCCCTCACGAAAGTCCATCTTTCTTTGTTATTGGTATGCATGCGAGCGAGCGAGCGAACGAGTGAACGTCTGCATAAAGGGGTTATGTGCACGCAAGAACAGGAAGGAAAGAAATATATAACAATACAAGCAATAACAACAACATATGACCCAATAATATCATGAATAAAAACTAAATTCAAATTGCTGTGGAGTTATGTATATATATATATGTATAAGAAATGTATGTAGAAAGCCGAGCAAAAAGCTGTCTGAGTGCGACAAGGATACACAAAGTCAAGTGTTGCAATGAACAAAGTGAGTTATGCTCCACTCTAAATTACCAACTACGATTCCAGGCAAAATAATTTGAGTGCGAGAGCATGGAAAAAATGCATGAACTCAAATTTAACGATTTTGGCAAGTAACTCTTATACTCAAATTGTAAAGAGTTTCTCACTCACAGAGTGAGTGGCATTTGTATTTGAGTACCCTTTCATTGAGCAGTCATTTATATCATAACTTTACAAAGTAACTTGTACAACCTCGTTCAATCAACTAATTAATTGGGGTATACTTATACTCGTATGCATGTGTATGTGTATATGTATGTATCTGTTTAAGTTTCGAAAGTAGAAGGTAAAAGTAAAGAATATTTCAAGCTTATTACCTTTCTGTAACACAATTTATGAACGTACATACATGCAAACATACATATGTACGTCTGTTTTAACAATTTGGCACCCGAACAAGTTATGTATATGTTTGTTACAATTCGTTGTTTTTTACAATTTGCCATAACAATAACAGTTATTTATTTCAATGGCCGACAATTTCCTTTATGGCGTCGGTTCATAAATTTGCATTCTCAGCGAAATTGTCAAATGGCGACGCGCAATGCCACGAAAAGGTACGTCAAATTCATTCCATTCAACCCTTCATCACTTCCCCCAAGCAATCGCAAATAAATTCTTTTCAGCACTTTCGAGTATGAGTTCGGCACCAGCGAGCATTGTTGAACTAAATTTAGTCTGTCTGTCTTTTTGCGGTGCCTAAAGGTGTCCACTTTCGAGGTGATGTAATTATGGATGTACTTAGGTTAATGATAAAGCAGTCAGCAATAATCATGGTGCAGCAACAATGAAAAATATTAATAAAGGTGAAGCATAGCAGTGATTTGCGGTAATTCATAAGCAAACTGTAATCGAGAAGTATGAAATAAATGAGGGAAATTTAATGCAAATAAAATTAAATAAAAATCTCTGTAGAAGAATATATAGATATATATATGTAGTTACATTTGAACTGTAAACGAAAATCAAGCAATTTAAGAGGTGCCGAGCATTGCCTCATGTACAATAGAATTGTAGTTCTATAGCTATATCGACATGTATATATGTATGTATGTTCCAAAAATTAAGTTGTATTTGTACCTACTTTGCTCTACTTATCTTTACACTCTCCGTTTCCATACTTACTTGCAACCCTTTCATGAATGAGCTTATTCTTTGCCTTAATAATCGCCCAAATGGTGAACACGTTTTGATCTTTAACTGCATGTAACTATCATACTTTCAATGAAAAAAGCCGCCATTTTGAATTTCGAAAGTTTGGACTACTCCCCATAGCATGTTTCAGACAGCTGATATTATTTGATTACGTTTATTTGTTTTTATAACTGCCCGCTGCTCAACTGGTTGATGTCCTAATAGAATTAAAGGTAGACATCACCGCCGTGGGTCCTCGTGAAATTTATTACAGCGGCCATAGAAAGGAGCGCAAATTTAGTGTCGGATTCGTCATGAGATAAAAACTTCGTCGCCGAGTACTGGTATTTACTCCGGTGTATGAATGCCTCGACAGGATCCGCCTATATTAAGATACGATAAGGAATGTCGAACTGCAATGGAGAGAAAACAGGCTGCCGCCTGACAGACTGAAAAAGGAGAAATATGTCGAAATGCGTGAGTATATAGAGCTTGAGATGCTCGAAAATTCTACAAAAGATACGGCGACTTACTGAAGATTCCAGATGAGTCTCTTATCCAAAGTAACTCCCGAACGAATTGGCGCTTTGTAACCGCTGAAGCGACTTTCGGCTGAGCTCCTCCTTCAATTTGTAGTTTTGCGTCTTGATGTTTTTCCAACAAAATGGAAGGACCTAAGCCACGGATGGGATTACATTCCGTGCCCAGGGACGGCCGCATTTAAATTTAGCTTAACTTTTAATTAGTCATTCGAATATTAGTACGACAAAAAAAGCTTCTTTTCGGCAATTTTTTTGAAAGGTAATGAAGTATTTACGCTTCAAAAAACTATCTTTAATATAAAAAAATGTTGAAATTTTCGAATGTTGTGATGAGTTTTCTAAAGCGGCTGCTGTTGATGAAGGTCGTGTGATGCATCTGAAACAGTCGAACCATCTTTGTTTTTTAATTTTTATGAGTGTATCTTCTAAGAAAGGAAAATTCCAAATTTTTTCTAAGTTTCAAAAAAAAGTTCACTTCAAGTTGCCAAAAATAGTTTAAATAGTACTTACGTCCAATTTTTTATTTCAAATAGAAGATGAATTAATACTGAAGCGAGATCACTTTGATAGGACATATATATTTTTTGCTATCTCCGGCACCGTTTTTTAAGACTTGTTAAAATGAAAACTCGAGAAAACGCGTTTCAAAGTTCTACTCTGAGCATTCGAACTTTCTCCACGCCCGGCCAATAAAACTGCTCTAGCTTCTAAAATAGGTATGTCGAATTGGCCATTGAAATTTTGAAGGCGAATTCTTGGATAGTCTTAAAATAGATTTAAAAAAAATTAATTTTTTGAAGCAGACACGCGTTGATTTTAATTCTTCAAGCAGCTAGCCATTATTCTATAATTTTTAAATGTTATTCTAGTCTGAAAATAGAAAGGCCACTCGAATGTGCCCCAAGTGTTACCGTATTATCCGCAAAAGTAGATGTGATGTGTTTTCGGTTTATAGCAGTGCTGTCCAAATTTTTTTTTCGCGTGGCCACAGAAGTGACGAACAGATCTATTCAATGACCACTTTTTCCAAAACCTAAGAAAAACAGTGAAAACAAATCGAAAATCCGTTTTTGTATTTATTTTCGATTGGTAATGCGACGTATGACATTTTTCTATTTTCTATGAGTTAAAATTAACCGACACAATGATTGCTTATTTAAGATTAATGCGACGAATGACTTTTTTTTCTGTGAATTTATCAAAGTCTGGCTTCGATTGGATTAGTTCGCAGCGGAAGCTCACATTCCAAATTTTATTGCAATATTGCCTTGCGGTATTTATTTTTAGGTCGCGCGAGACTTGAGAATGATGCTTCCCCAACGTATGTAGAACCAAACATTCATAAAAACTTTGGTACAATGTCTTTTAGTGCCAAGGAATTACATTCAGATAACAAACACTTCCACAATGCATCGCCCGTTTCATTTAGCAAGCCACTTTCTTCATTTATCAACGAAATATCGAATTCCAAATGAGTTTCCTTTGTTCCGAAAAGATCTGACAATTTTTCAATATTAATTGGGTCACAAACGAATGGGATTTTTAAAAAATTTGGATGCCAACTGAAGCTCGGAAATCTTCAAATCGCGTTAATCAAAATATCAATATTTTTAATGAAAATGTTCGTATCGTAACCTAGCTCAGATTCTACATTATATTGATTTGTGTCTAATACTTGGAAGAAAGTAAAATCATTTTTGTTAATTTGGTTTTTAAATGCGACTAATTTCTACTTGAATTCTTGAATATCTTTTGCCAAGCCCCAAACGAAATTATTCTTTCCTTATAGCCTCACATTCAATTCGTTCAGATGTTTAGTAATATCAGCGAAAAAGTACAGTTTTTCTTTCCATGTATTTGCCGATATTTCACTGAATTCTACATTCAAGTGTTGTTCCATGAAAAATAGTCCGATTACATCAAACAGATCCCAAACCGATTCAAGACTTTTCCACAGCTTAGCCAGCGAATGCTTTTGAAATTATGTCACCAAATTTCGAATTTAATATATCAATCATTTTAATCGACGATGACGTATATGTTTTATTTTTAGGAAAATAAAGCGAGGACGCGAATACAACGGACAATACAGCTAACACCTTTTTGTCTTATTATTGCCGAGATGGAATCGCTTCGGTTAGCATTATAAATCGTTTTTTGGAAGAAATTAGAATCATTATTTGAAAAATATAATAAGTTCGTTGGCCACTAGTTTGGACCGCACTGGCTTATAGGAAGATCGCTTGTATTAATTAAATATAAAACGGGCCCTTAAGTACTTCCTTGTGGAACACCAGTAAATAGATATTTCATAAGATTGAGTAGGGTAACTTTTTTGCATAACCTGAAATTTTTTGCCATAAGGAAGCTTTTTAGACGACAAAAACATTTACGGGAAGTAAATGTCTTAGCTTGCATAAAGTCCTTCTAGCCAAACTTTATCAAATACTTGAGCAAAATCACGGAACGCTGCAGTGCAATATTTCTTGTTTCAAGCGCTGACCTTATGTGTGTAAAAATTGTGGCACCTGCTCTGTCTGCAAAAAAACCCCTGTCATCTCGCTGTCATCGACTTGACTTGATGCGTCTTGATGTTTTTCCAATAAATGGAGCAACCTACAGTTTACACTAAGCCTCCTCCGAAAGGCCGAAGGATTTTTAGATGGAGTATTTTTTCCATGCCAAAAAAACACTCGGAGGGCTTGACATTCCCTGTCAAGGTGCGACCGCAGGTAGAAAAAATTATCTTTGGTTTTGATAAAAAGAATGTAGATTATTGAAATGGTAAAAGCTTGCGCTATTTAAATTTTAGTTCTGTTATCTACTTGACATTGTTCGTCATATTCCAGTGTCGTGCTGCTGCTTTAAACATAAATGCATCTATAAAAACGAATGGGTGACGGATGCTGATTGCCCTATCGTCGGAGTGGATTGTTTAAAGCTCTAATACGAGTACACACATATACCTTAGCATTTCGACAAGGCATTTACCGTTTTCCATTGCTCTTATATGCTCTTAACACATTTGTAAGAAACAAATGCACAAAATAATTATTCACATTTATGGTAGTAACATAAATACCTTAAACAGGCGGTCATCATGGTCCGAAATTGGAAACTTCTAACTAATGCCTGGAATTAATGACACTTTGACATACGTGAGAATAATAAGCGTTTACCTTCTTCTGTTTACCCTAGGGATTAGTCTTAACAGGATACAATTGGGTATACAATAAATAATTAAACAAGTAGGACAAACTTATGTTTTTATAGAATAATTAGTCCTAACGAATTACGAGTGACTAAAGGCTTTTGCAACAGGAAATTTATTCTATTTTTGATAAATTTCTAAGCTACACTTAGTTAACGATTTCGTAAATTTTGAGTATCGTTTACAATAAAATAATACACAAAGGTTGCAATGTTTGCAAGAGTTAATGTTATTTAAAAATAAAAATTCTTCAATTTATTGTTATTAAAAACTTACATTTGATGTGTAAATACTCGTAAGGTGGTAAATAAAACTTTAAAGTAGTGTGCTTAAAATGGGTTGAAACGTTAATAATGTAAAATCGTTAGCAGATAATGTTAAATCCTTAACAGATAATGTTAAATCGTTAACAGATAATGTTAAACGTCAAATTGAAGTGTGGTGTTAAATAATGGCAGGCAGCCATTTTAAAATTGACGTTAGCGATGAGTTTTTTGCGGTTTTAATTCAATGATTTCATTTCGTTGAGCTAATTTTTCTTGTGAGCAAAACGGAATGATATCGTTACTTTTGTTCAGCATGTCTGGCTTATATCTTTATTTGAACAGAACATTTTGTTATACAAGAGAGAAATACAGTATAACTGACAGCTGTTTCGGAGCTGTCCTGCCACTGAGCCAACATCAGCCACCTAATATGTTATTGTACTTTTCAATTCTTTATTAACCAACAACTATTAAGTGCGCTAATTTAGCCGCTATCTTACTTAATAGCATGGTTAGTGAAATGCTCTGTAATCGTGTACGATTCCTTGCGTTAATTGTTATTTCTAAGTTTTTTTGTAAAAATATTTTTTTGGGGTAAAAGTTATTTGGTTTTCCAATAATTTAATTTTTTCTATATTGTAATTTTATCTACATACATATCTACATAATATTTAATGTCATGCTGTAATTTTTCCACTCTTAATGCAATTATTATACAACGGGAGGGCAAGAAAATTCTGATTCCAGTAAAAAGGTCTGGTAGCTTGTTTTTACAACGAAATTCAAAGTATTGAAGTTAAATGACCTACGGAGCATTTCGTAGTAGTATGCGGTGAGCCGCAATGAAGCTGCGAACTTTAAGCGCGTTTTTCTTGAAACAACTTTCTTATGGTAGCCCCAAATGATAAACAATTTTCTATCCAAGCGTTTGGTCTGCGCCTTGAAAAGTTATTCATTCAACTACATCAATAGTTCTGGTAAGAACCAGGATATTTTTTTTCCATTTTACAACCAGACTTCTACTTAAAAAAATGTCACTTTTTCGAAGTCAACCAATTTTTATTCTTTAACAAAATTATTTCAAACTAATTGCAACAATAATGAATAACTTACAGAATAATAAGATTTTTGGTTTTTCCAATTTCAGATGTCCTCAAGCGACCAATACACTGGGGCCAGCCACTTATTTTTTTTTTTTTTGGAAGAATCTCACTTTAGTGCTATGAAACAGCAAATTTCGGTTTGTATACTCTGAGAAATATTACAAAATGAAATGATTGGATTTTTTTTTCAATTAAATATTACCAAAACGGCATTAAAAAGAGTGCCAAAAAGAGAGAGAGGTTACCAGATTACATATAATCTCTATCCTTCACTGTTCTTTGCTTTTAACACCTTTTGAGTTATAACGTTGACATTGAATGCGTTCTTGAAACACAGAGTTATACATTTCACGGTTTTGAAAATAAACATAAATAAAGCATTTAAATTCATTTTTTTTTCAAATGAAATTCCGTTATTATTGTAAAGTTAGAACCTTGTCATTCAAATGACCGCCTCGTAAATTTTTGCAAACTTTAATCCGTTCGAAGCAATTCTAGGCACAT